TTTCTTCTCTCTCCCCCACAGGTGCCAGAGCTTCCGGAGAAAAACTGTGGGAAAACCTCCCTTTTTGCCCTCTTTTCCATGTTTTTTTTGCGGCACGAGGATCCAACGGGGCTTGTTGAACACCACGGTGGGAAGAGGAGGAAGAGGAAGGAAAGTCTCCATGTGCGCCTCCAAAATCCCCCTTTTTTTCCTGTTTTTCTCCCTTTTCCTGCCAATAATCGTCCTCCTCTGGCCAGAATTAGCCCGTTTTTCTCTGTTTTCCCCTCTTTTTTTAGTATAAAGAGCCCCAAACTTCCAGCCCAACGCGGCTGCGATGAACCCGCCTCATTTTGGGGTTGTTTCCTTCATTTACTGTCCGTTTGCAGCCAAGGGGGTGGGGGGGACAAAGCGTTTTGCCCCAAATCACGCTGTTTTGGCTTCTTGCCCCAGGGGAAACAAACCGAACCAAACCAAGACCAAAAAAAAAAAAAAAAAAAGGCAGAAAAATCTTGTGTTTTTCTCCCAAAACGACATCACTCCTTCACGTTCGCTTGCTTGGCTTTATAAAAAAAGCAGAAAAAATGCGGTTAAAAACGTATAAATGGGCTTAGAAGAGGAACAGAAAAGTATTTTCAAGTTTATTCACCCTTTTCCCTATCAGTTTTTGTGGGAGAGAGGAAAATCTGCGTTTTTGCTTCTTTTTCATGTTCCCCCTTAGGAGAAGGGGGGATTGGTTAAAAACTTGCTGTATTTTCCATTGATTTTGTGGGGAAAACGGTTTTAGGGGGAAAATTAGGCCGGTTTGGGCTCAAACGCAGCTCTGCGAAATGGCTCCGTTTCCCCCCCATTTCTGGGGCCGTTTTCTTAAAAAACGGGTTTAAACTCTGCGGTTTTGGGGGTTCACCCCCCAAAAAGCTGGCAATGCAGGCTGCGAAAAGGGCCATTTTGGGCATGGCTGAAGAACTTTTTTTTTTTTTTCCTTTTAGTAGGTAAAAAACACCCTTAAGGGGGGAATGAGGTTGGAGAAGGTCAAAAATGCCACTTTGTGGGATCGTGGCCACTTTTAATGTTATATTTTTGCATTGTACTATGACAAATATAGCATTTTATACTATATACTATATATGTAATCACTTATCAGCTTTAATTTATTGCCAAGGCCACAATGGGTGCCCAGGAGGCAAAAATGAGCCTGGGGCTGCTTAAAGAAAGGCAAAAACTTGCCCAAATTTATAATTTTTCCTTTCCGTTTTCGGGTTTTCAACAGGAGCAGGGGGCCAGGCTGTAGTTTGGGCTCAAAACACGCCTATTTGGGGGCGTTTCCTCGAGTAAAAGAAGAAAGGGAGGGCGGGGCTGGCAGGGCGGCCCCGTTTTGAGGGTTTTAGGGCGGATTTGATCATTTCCAAGCGTTTTCAGGCAGATTGAGGGGTACTACGAGGCGGGGGGGGGGCGCCATCATGGCGGCGAGGGGGTTAACACCGCCCCAAGATGGCGGCGGCGGCGCCTTAGCCGCCCGCGGCGCCGCCGGGAGGCCCCACCGCTCCCGGGCCGCGCTGCCCACCCCGAGCGGCGACAAGAAAAAAAACCTTCCTAAGAAATCTGCAATAAAATAACGCTGCGATGGGGAAAAATTGACCGTTTTCGTGTTTTTTTGCTAGGGAAATAGGTTCAGGCGCGGCGCGGGGCAGCCCCGCCTCCTCAAGGCCCCCCACCCCCCCCGCTCCGCGGGCGCTTCCGGGAGGGCGCGCAGCCTACCCTGCTGCCTCGGCGGCCACGCCCCCCGGGCCATTGGCGCGGCGCGCGGTGACGTCGCGCGCGGGTGGGCGTGGCCGGCGCCGGGAAGGGGCGGGGGGGCCAGCACGCTGCGTTGCGCCGCGCCCGCGCGCGGGGGCCGCCTCG